AGTGGTTGAGGTGTATTAAAACTCTACCATGCAAACTTTCGGTGGAATTACCATAATTTTTTTTACATCAAACTTCAGAAGCTTTAATGTACCTGCCCTGCTGTTCAGTGTTGAGGGAATGTGTAGATAGTTGGCGTGTGTTGAAATGTGAATTACAGGGTGTCTCAAAAAGGAAAAAAAAACACCTTATTGATTTTCGTGGAGATCGCGTGAATTTTTTGGTGTTTATAACATGAACATTGTGGCTCACGAACCCTCACAAAGCCGGGTGGTTGCCTGCCCCTCGGATAAACAATTACGGTACATTTGATAAGCAATACTGTCTTTTCCACTGTCCCTTCCACTAGTTCCCTTCCTAATTTTACTCTATCTCCACCTCCACTAATTCTTCTTCCTCCTCCTCCCACTCCAATAATTCCTGCTTCTACTCCCCCCTTCCTCTTCACTAGTTCCTCCTCCTCTCCTCCCATTCCACTAGTTCCTCCTCCACCTTCCAATTCCACTACTTCCTCCTACTCCTCCCCTTCACTAGTTCCTCCTCCTCCTCCTGCACCTCCTCCTCCTCTAGTTCCTCCTCCTCCTTCTGCCCCTCCTCCTTCTCCTCCTGTACCTCCTCCTCCTCCTTCTGCCCCTCCTCCTCCTCCTCCCCCTCCACACGTCCCTGAGGGCAAGCAATCATCATGTCATCAGCGAGTCTTTGAGAGTATCCCCTACTCTGTAAAGAAGATGTGTTCCGGTCTGTGGACAAGACACTCGGAGTGGAAGTTAGCCTTGAGCATTATAGCCTTGAGCATTATAGCCTTGAAAATTGTAGCCACGAACATAAAAGCCATGAGCATTATAGCCTTGAGCATTATAGTCTTGAGCAATGTAGCCACGAACATAAAAGTCATGAGTATTATAGCCGTAAGCATTATATCCCTGAGCATTATAACCTATAACATTGTAGCCACGAACATAAAAGCCATGAACATTATAGCCGTAAGCATTATAGCCGTGAGCATTGTAGCCATCAACAGAACCATGGTCAGGTTACGTTATGTTAGGTTAGGTTATTCATCAGCGGTACAAAATAAACGTAAAAAAAAAAAGTAATCATAACATAATGAAAAATTCCCATTGAGTGCTTGGATCTGTATATGATTATAGGTTCTAAAATAGATTAGTATAGTGATGTGGGGAGGGGTGGCCGGTCCTCCTCCTGCCCAGGGTTCGAGATGTGTTTCGCCACGTCTTCTGAGCTACTGTACTGTGCCGTCTGCCTGTGTTGTGATGCTAATATGACGGTGGTATAGTAGTGATAGTGTGACTCTCGTGTGGCGTTGGGCTAGTGTGATGATGGTTTAGTGTGATGCTGTGACGTTAGTGTGATGATGTGCAGTATTAAGTGATAACTGAAGTGTAGGTGAGTGGTGACGGGGGTGTAGGTGAGTGGTGACGGGGGTGTAGGTGAGTGGTGACGGGGGTGTAGGTGAGTGGTGACGGGGGTGTAGGTGAGTGGTGACCGGGGTATAGGTGAGTGGTGAAGTGAAGTTAATGGACCTTATGCGTGGTCTACTGTTTAGGTGGGAACTGACCAATACGTTAACGTCTACGATTAATCGGAAAGTTTTACGTCACGTTAAGGAAGTTCACGATGACCTAGGATCATACAGACAACATGAGTGGTCAGACTCCCGCCAATCAGGTGTCAGCCAGCACTCCTTAAGCTGACAGTTCTTGGTAATCATCAGTGGGAACGTCAGCCAAACTCGACACAAACACGCCTCAGGAAGTGTTCAACAACTTCACCAGGAGTTTGTCGTGAACCAAGTTAGAGGCTGCGTGCATACAGTGAAGACAGGCGCCTGTGTGACAGCTACATGGACCCACTAGTGCTGCGGTCATAGATACTTCTGCCTCACGTCATGTGGGTCAGGGCAGTGCCTCGCTTACCACTGAAGTTTATTGTTCTCTCACCTGTATGACGCAAGGTGTGTGTGTGTGTGTGTGTGTGTGTGTGTGTGTGTGTGTGTGTGTGTGTGCTTCTGTATGTAATATGATGTTGATATATTGAACAGATAAGCCGACGAGTGACCATACTTACACCTTTCGCTACTAGCATATACACACACCCATTGACTTACATAAGCACATTCACACATAAACACATTCACACATATACACACACACACACACACACACACAGACACACACACACACAGACACACACACACACACTCACACACACACACTCACACACACACACACACACACACACACACACACACACACACACACACACACACACACACACACACACACACACACACACACACACACACACACACACGAACTGATTGCTACAAGAACAGCCCAGTCCCAACCATTGTAAAAATTATCAACACCTAATTATTATATATCTTATTTGTATCACTTATATTACGTGTACATCAATTGTAAATCAAGAGACCCATTCCCCAATTATGTAATTGTATATTTTCAGCCTTCCGGCTGCCATGCTCTTTCAATGAACCGTTAATTATTATTATTATTGCACACACACACACACACACCCAGTACACATCACCACTGTTAGGTAGTTTGACTAATTATTATGCCACGATGAAATTAAAAGAAATCAAAAGAGTGTTTTGTCAAAGGAGCAGCGTCAGGTGACAGCATCATAGGGTAATTAGTTTAGTGTCAGGTACAGAGGGACGCACACCTGATGTTACTGTGTGTGTGTGTGTTTTTATGTGAACCACCGCTGTTTTGATGTAGTGAATCATTTTTATTGTTGTATTTGAGAGAGAGAGAGAGAGAGAGAGAGAGAGATTAAAAAAAAAATCCTTTTCTATTATTGTAATTATCTCACCTAAATGAAGTATCAAGACGATGGAAGGAGGAAAAAACAATATATTTCACACAAGAAAGACCAATACACACCCGACGTATGTTATGGTAACTGACTGTAAGGATGTGTGGGTCGTATACAGTTTTGACAGGTTATGGTGAACTGTGACCAAGACAGACTGTTCGTAGGAGCTGGTATGTGGGTTAATTCGGTGTGTTTCTTGGTCAATTTGTTTTCTTGATTGTGTGTAGAATTCTCATCCAACCTTTCTCTCTTGATATTCCTCCCTTCCTCCCTCCCTTGATTTTTCTCCCTTCCTCCCTTAATTTTTCTCCCTTCCTCCTTTGGTGTTCTCCTTGATTTTTCCTTCCTCCCATGGTGTTCCTCCCTTCCTTCCTTAATGTTTCTTCCTTCATCCTTTGATTTTTCTCCCTTCATGCCTTGGTGTTCCTCCCTTCCTCCCTTGATGACTTTTCCTTCCTCCCATGAATGTTCCTTCCTTCCTCCCTTGATGTTCCTTCCTCCCTTGATGTTCTTTCCGTCCTCCCTTGATGTTCCTCCCTTCACCCCTCCTTCAGTAACCTGCTGTAGGAGGTAAAGACTTCATGGTGTAAACAGCTGTTACATGAAGGCCTTCGGGTAGGAAGTCCTTAAAAGCTTCACTTGACGGCCCATTAGCCGCTGGTCCTCCTGGAGACGGTCACCATTAGCCAGGTCCGAGCGGTGTTGGCGGCTCATTAGCCAAGTCTGGGTGGTGGGGACTGCCCATTAGCTATGTCGGGTCGGCGTTGAGTGCCCAGGACAAGTTAAGGGTATTGGTCGGTGCTGCCTGATCATTAGCGGCTCCATTAGCAGTGCTTGGGAGTTGCAAATTGACCCATTAGCCAATTCGAAGCGAACTTGACCGCCCATTAGCTAGAATGGGACGGTAATGATGCTCTCTTAGTTATGAGTCAAGCCTAACACGCTCGCGCGTGCACACACACACACACACACACACTACATCGTTGACCACCGGAGGTTCAAGACCTATCAGACGCTGCTGCGCAGCTGCCCCCCCTTGGTCAGTGTTCGGCCCCATTCCCCAAGTCCCTCTCCCCGACCCATCCTCACCACCGGGATATCAACATAATCAAAAGTGACAAATCCGTTTCGGAAAGAAGGGGGATCAGTGTTGAACAGTGTTTAAGCCAGTAAATTCAGCACTAGACAGTACCAGTGAGAACCGTGACCCACCAATGAGATGAGCACCCCTGGGAACCATCCTCTGGCCAGACGGTGTTAGTCCGTCCACCCTGGGAACAACAGTGGGCCGGCTTTACACCTGACTACGAGATAACTTAACACCACCGAACAGAGAGAGTGAGGTACTGTGACACCACCCCACACCACCCGGTGTCCCCATGACCACGTGAGGTCCTTCATATCAACACCCGAGAACGAGTTACTGAACCACGAGGCCTACGTGACCTTACACAGTATGGCAAGAGACCAGCCCGGGCCATCAACTGTAAACTATAATAATTTGTATGTTCAATTCATGTTTCTTCTCCTTTTAGTAATGAAAGCTTTTGTTAAACGACCCACCCACCCATGTCTTTTTAAGTAATAAGTCATTATTGTCTAAGGTATATTTTCAGCCTTCGGCTGCAGAACTTTTTCAATAAACCGTTAATTATTATTATTATTTATTATAATTACACACACACACACACACACACACACACACACACACACACACACACACACACACACACACACACACACGGAGGCTTGGCTGAATATTGTCTTTCACCTTGAGGGGCACCGAAGTATTTAATAATGTGTATCTTCCATTCTGGCCGTCCATCCTGGTATTTCAATAAAACGGTAGAAAGCCAGCAGGGCCCTGCGACCTACCGCGAACAGGAGGAGCTCCTGGTGCTCCCCCAGGCTGGAGGAACTCCGTGGTGCTCCCCCAGGCTGGGAGGGGCTCCTGGTGCTCCCCAGGCTATGAGGGGCTCCTGGTGCTTCCCCAGGCTAGGAGGGGCTCCCTGGTGCTCCCCCAGGCTAGGAGGGGCTCCCTGGTGCTCCCCAGGCTAGGAGGGGCTCCCTGGGCTCCCAGGCTGGAGGGCTCCCTGGTGCTCCCCCAGGCTGGGAGGGGCTCCTGGTGCTCCCCCCCAGGCTAGGGAGCTCCTGGTGCTCCCCAGGCTAGGAGGGGGCTCCCTGGTGCTCCCCAGGCTAGGAGGGGCTCCTGGTGCCCCCAGGCTAGGAGGCTCCCTGGTGCTCCCCAGGCTGGGAGGGGCTCCCTGGTGCTCCCCAGGCTGGGAGGGGCTCCTGGTGCTCCCCCCAGGCTAGGAGGGGCTCCCTGGTGCTCCCCCAGGCTAGGAGGGGCTCCCTGGTGCTCCCCCAGGCTAGGAGGGGCTCCCTGGTGCTTCCCCAGGCTAGGGGGGGCTCCCTGGTGTTTCTCCAGGCTGGGAGAAGCTTGTTGGTGGTGTTCCAGGCTGGGAGGGGCTCCAGGCTGAGAGGATCTCCCTGGTGCTCTTCCAAGCATGGGGGAAGGGGGAGCTACGATGGGGTATTCGGGTCGTCAACTATTAGCCTTATATTCAGATTGACTGTGAGCTAAAGGGAAGTTAATGAGATTTCAATGCAAATCTTGTTCTCTATCAGTCGCGGCCGGAGGGAATCTGTCTCGCCTCCTGATATATGGGAGACCCGGCTATCCACATCGCCCCCCCCCCCCTTCTCTAACCTCCCCACACACCCCAGCAGTTTCAGCCATTCTTTTTCACCGCAGTTTTGCATAATCCACGTCTTCCCAGGCATGGTGTGAGATGATAGGTCCTTATCCACCATTATGTTAGGTAGTGATCCTCCTACTTTTATACTCAGCAGGCAAATTTAACTTAACCTTACCTAACCTCTTTTAATCATGGCTCATCTTAATCCAATTTACTCTAACTTAACCTAACCTAACCTAATTTAGCCTCGCTTATTCTAATCAGGGTTGTTGGTTCGTTCTCTTGGCTCTTCTAGTCCTCCCAGCTGTAAATGGTTACCTAACTCTACAAGCTGGGAAATGAAAGCGACCGAGTACAGTGCCGGTCACGCTACCTCCTTGTGTGCTGTATCCAGACTGTTTCTAACGGTGAGTCATGAATATGGGAAACATAATATTAGTAATCCCAATGAAACTTGAAATTCTGTGAACTGAACTAATTGTAAGCAGACAACCTGGCAGTCAAAACAAATGTCTTGGTGTAAACCCTGAAGGAGATAACTGTTATTAACGTGAAGTGGACCATTAACAGGTTCTCATTTACTAATAAGTTATCTTTACAGACCTCGGGAGCTTTAATACCCGTGAATCACAACACGACTTTGTCCAGCCTCCAATTATTAGATCATCTGCGTGTGTGTGTTTATTCTTTGGAGAATGTTCTCGTGTTGGGAGGTAATTCATCCTCATATTTGGTGATTACTGTAATTTGAATTATCCACTTCATATGACATTCTTAGATTAAACTAAACTAAACATAAATAAAGTCAGTTTGGTTTAGTTGTGGCAGCCTATCAGAGCATGACACTATCACCCGCTGGCCCAGGGAAAGTGTATTGCTCACTTTTTGGGGGGTTTATTTCTACATAGGTCCAGAGTCTATTTAGTTTACTTGTTTCACCTGCAGATTGGCTCCTCCAGCTAATTTCACTTTAAGATTAACCTAACCTAACCTAACCTAATCCCCAGGTAGCGTTTGGGTATTTAATCCATAACGATAAAGAGAAGGAAGGTGGAGTGGTTCAGTGTAATATACCCCCAAGTGGCTCGGTGTCTGTGTTAAGCTAACGGGCTACCACCGGCACCTTACTAACACTGAGGGACAAGAGCTGCCATCGCGGTTGAGGCTGGGAGTGAGGGAAATGGTGCGGGCTGGAGAGGAGGAAGACCCTGGGAATGTGTAGAGGGTGCGGCCTACAAAGAGGGAGGAGGCAGGGGGTGAATAAATCAAATAGGACGAGGGGAGAAGGTAGGGGGTACAGAGGAAGGAGTGAGGGATAGTGTGGGATTAATGAGTCAGGAGGCGAAGAAGTGGTGAAGGAGGGAGGGCACATGTGAGGGGGATAGCAGGAGGCTTTAGGTTGGAGGAGGGCTTAGGTAGTAGGAGGATTTGGGTAGAAGGAGGAGGGCGTGTGTAGGATTGAGGAGTATAGGAGGGTGTAATGGGTATGGTCTTCAGGGGGCAGGTACGAGGATGTGGGCGAGAGGGCAAATTAGGAGGGAGGAAGAGGCTGAGAATGAGGAGTATGGGAGAGTGGTTGGGTGGAGGTGTGGGGCTGGCTGACTCGGGTACCTCTGACCCCACCGCTCCAGGAGAGAGGCGGGGGGTGGACGTGTCCGCCTTTATACTCCAGCGTGGCAGATTGGGTTTAATTTTTGCACCCCGAGAGCTCTGAAGAGGTGAGGAAAACAGAAGGTTTTACTAAAAAGAGAAATAGATAAAAAAATACGAGCAGGAACAAGGAGGGTACCTCTAAAAAGAAAACCTGGTGGGCAAAGTCTTGACTCAGAAGTAACAATGTTAGCCCAAGACTGCCAGGAAGGTAAACAGTCTCCTTTAACAAGGCAGGTCTAACTATATTCCACAGAATAAGTATAAGTGAAGTAAGTAACAATAAAGTAGATATTATGGGAGTGTGACGTTACCATGAGGAGCCACGCGCACACTTGCTTGTAAAGCAACACAGAAAGTAAGGCCATAAGACGTATTTCACACTCACTAGATAGCAAAATTTTTAAAACCCTGCAAGAGGCAAAACTTGACTCGCATCTAGAGAATGCTCCGTACTCCCGGATGGTGTCTTCCACTGCTGCACACAACAGCCGTGCGGCCATTATAAATTATCACTCCTGGACACGAAGCATCAGGGCCAGATATATCAGCGGCCTGCAACTCTGGAGAGATCTTTGTGCCTTACTATCAAGTTCAAGGCTAATGTATACAAGGCTCCCCACCTGGCCCCATTCCAGCGGCTCACGGAAGAAAGAGTTTACACTCATGACGCTCCACCGAGAGCAGGTTCACCTTGACTGTTTCGTTCCCAAGATCAACATTGCATCAAGATCTTTCATTTGACGTTTCCCTCAGACTTAAAAACTTTACACGAAAAGAAATCATTAGGTAAATGAAGACTTGTAGCTCATAAATGGCTGTAGCAACACTGCAGTATTGCAGTAACACCCTGTAGCAACGCTGTAGCATCACTACGTCAACACCCTGTAGCAACACTGTAGCATCACTGCGTCAACACCCTGTAGCACCACCTTGTAGCAACACTGCAGCAACACTGCATCAACACCCTGTAGCAACACTTCAGCTACACTTCAGCAAAACCCTGTAGCAACACTACAGCAACACCCTATAGCAACACTTACAACACTCCAGCAACACTGTAGCAGCACTCTGTAGCAACACCCTATAGCAACACTCCAGCAACACCCTGTAGCAACTTCGTGTAGCAACACTGCAGCAACACCCATTAACAACACCCTGTAGCAACACTCCAGCAACACCTTGTAGCAACTTCGTGTAGCAACACTGCAGCAATACCCAATAACAATACTAACAACACTGACAACAACACCCTGTAGCACCACTAGCAACACCCTGTAGTAACACTAGCAACATCCTGTAGTAGAACTGCAGTAACACCCCTTAGCAGAACTGCAACAACACCGTGTAACAACTCGAGTAACACCCTGTAGCAATACTGCAGCAACACTGCAGCAACACCCTGTAGCAACACTAGCAACACCCTGCAGCAACACTGCAGCAGCATCGTGTAGCAACATCGTTGTAGCTAGCTGAACTGTTCTTAATGTCATGGTTTTACTGAGAGGAAATTTTAAATGCTAGAAAAAACAGACAATGAAATTTACGTTTTTATCCGTCTCGCCCTTCTGTCTCATGTTAGAGAGAGAGAGAGATCCCACACGTCCTTCAGAACATTCAAGCCACACATCGCCATAAACAGACAACCTTTGGCGGGAGTGGACACCAGGGGATTCCGAGAGACACCTCCGTCGTGAGGAAGCTAAGTGTTCACCTCCCGCTTGTGGTTCTGGCAGGTCCTAAGTGTCCTCATCTTTAAAAAAAAAAGTTGCAGTCCACACAGGATACTTTGTATTAATTAGTAGTGCACACATCACTGCGGAATGTTTTCGGTGCGTAAATATGGGTGTTATTAAAGTAGCAATAGCAAAACGAGAGAAGGTGAGGGGAGGTTGTGGGAAGCCTTGCGCGGGGCAGCAGCAGGCTGGGGCAGATCCATGGTGGGACCCGTACACCGCCAGGTCCGCCAGTGCTCTGCAGAGCTCCACGCTGGTAGTGTGTCGCGTTCTACTCCGTCACTCACACCCGCGCACCTCTATGCCTTAACCTGGCAAGCTGTCTGTCACACAGCCATTTGTTATTAATACCTATATTGACACACACACACACGTAAGCCACACACAACGAACGACTCGTGTACTGGTGCGTACTAGTGACCGTAACACTCATAAAAGGTATTATAAATCATGTTAACTGTGTCTACGAGGAGAAGCTAAGAGGATGGTGTAACACTACCTTGTGGTGACTGAGGTGACTCGCAGGGGAGTTTGTGGCGGAAAATGAAGGTGGGGCGAGAGAGGCAGTACACGAACTCTTCTCTGGGGGGCCAGGAGCGCCACACCATGTTGAGGCTAAGGTGAGTACTAACACACACACACACACTCACACACACACACACACACACACACACACACACACACACACACACACACACACAATGTGTACCTTCATCCAACACACAGGATATTTTTATAGCGATTTACTAAAATTTCGCGCGCGCGCGTATTATTATTGACAGTATTATTATTGAATAACTAATTGTGTATTCTCGCGAAACAAAACGGTCTACAACTGGTATTGGTCCTAAACATTCTCAACCTGCCATGAATTGTCTATCTGTTGTCAAGTGAGATAACTACCATCATAGTTAAAGTTGATAAATGTGACTCGTGTACCTACAACTATCAATGCCAGTCAACTGTTTGTGCCAGTCAACTGTTAGTGATAGTCGACTGTCAGTACCCTCCAACTGTTACAGCCAGAGTCAGCTTCCACTCTTACACTGTGTGTGTGTGTGTGTGTGTGTGTGAATATTAATTCCGTAACCGAAAATATTAATTCGCATAAGCTTACACCATGTCGAGATAAATTTATATTTTCTATTTATATTTGTCACGTTTCGTGTATGATGTAACTTAAAGTACGGCTAAAGGCTTCACAATGCTCTATAATTTTAACAGTTAGCAACAATCAGTATTCATTAACTGTAATTTAAAACGTATATATACAGTCAGTAACAATCAATATTCAGTTAACTACAAAGCGGAATATAATAAATTCACAATTTTAACTGTGAGCACAACAAAAAGTTTCAGTAGCCTCCAACTATACAGTAGTCACCTGTACACATTCACCCACCGCACTCTTGCACCGTCACCCAACTTATATTTCATTCCAACTTTTATTTTTCAACCATTTTTCGATATTAAACCTAACTTAACCTAATCTAACCTAACACTGCCCTCTCATAACCAAGCGCTAACCATACGCTAACCTAACCTAACCATACGCTAACACAGCTTACCCTAACCTAACCTAACCTAATCTAATCTAATCTAACCTAATCTCTCCAGGTAGCGTAAGAGTGTTTAATATTCAGATACAATTAACTAGGGATGGACTCCTGTACAGATGATCCATTTTGTAGTATTTTCGTTTCTGCATTCTGTAACTGTACGGGTTAGTCATTTTATTTATGGAAGCCTTTGGGGGTTCAGTGTGTGTGTGTGTGTGTGTGCGTGTGTGTGTGTGTGTGTGTGTTAATCTGGTCCATTATTAAGCTAAGGAGAGGGCTGAGGGAGTGTGTAGGGAGGACTGAGAGTCTTAATTCTTTTTAATTATAAGTAAAGTTGGTGGCGGTAACTCATAAGGGCTCTCTCTCTCTCTCTCTCTCAGCAGTAAAGGCCACTACAGTAGTATGTTGACCCAGGCGAGGCAGCTGCTGTTTACACCCAACCATTATCACTCATGTATCTGTCTAACCATTATTAGTTAACTTACTAACGTGGCTGTGTTAATAATGTTATTAGTTAACTTACTAACGTGGCTGTGTTAATAATGTTATTTGTTAACTTACTAACGTGGCTGTGTTAATAATGTTATTTATTAACTTACTAACGTGGCTGTGTTAATAATGTTATTTATTAACTTACTAACGTGGCTGAGTTAATAATGTTATTTATTAACTTACTAACGAGGCTGTGTTAGTAATGTTATTTATTAACTTACTAACGAGGCTGTGTTAATAATGTTATTTATTAACTTACTAACGAGGCTGTGTTAATAATGTTATTTGTTAACTTACTAACGAGGCTGTGTTAATAATGTTATTTATTAACTTACTAACGAGGCTGTGTTAATAATGTTATTTATTAACTTACTAACGAGGCTGTGTTAATAATGTTATTTATTAACTTACTAACGAGGCTGTGTTAGTAATGTTATTTATTTACTTACTAACGTGGCTGTGTTAATAATGTTATTTATTAACTTACTAACGAGGCTGTGTTAATAATGTTATTTATTAACTTACTAACGAGGCTGTGTTAGTAATGTTATTTATTTACTTACTAACGTGGCTGTGTTAATAATGTTATTTATTAACTTACTAGCGAGGCTGTGTTAATAGTGTTATTGATTAACTTACTAACGAGGCTGTGTTAGTAATGTTATTTATTAACTTACTAACGTGGCTGTGTTAATAATGTTATTTATTAACTTACTAACGAGGCTGTGTTAATAATGTTATTTGTTAACTTACTAACGTGGTTGTGTTAATAATGTTATTAGTAAACTTACTAACGTGGCTGTGTTAATAATGTTATTTATTAACTTACTAACGTGGCTGTGTTAATAATGTTATTTATTAACTTACTAACGTGGCTGTGTTAGTAATGTTATTTATTAACTTACTAGCATTAACAGCCATTGTAATGTTATTTATTAACTACTAGCGTAAGCATGTGTGTATTTATTAGCACTAACGTGGCTGTGTTAATAATGTTATTTATTAACTTTTACTAACGTGGCTGTATTGTGTTGTTATTAACTTACTAGCATGGCTATGTTAATAATGTTATTTATTAACTTACTAACGTGGCTATGTTAATAATGTTATTTATTAACTTACTAACGTGGCTGTGTTAATAATGTTATTTATTAACTTACTAACGTAGCTGTGTTAATAATGTTATTTATTAACTTACTAGCAATAACAATGTTAACAATATTTATTTATTAACTTACTAGCATGCTGTGTTAATAATGTGTTATTAGTTAACACTAACGTGAAACATGTTAATAATGTTATTGTTAACTTACTAACGTGGCTGTGTTAATAATGTTATTAGTTAACTTACTAGCGTGTCTGTGTTAATAATATTTATTTGTTAACTTACTAACGTAAGCTGTGTTAATAATGTTATTTGTTACTTGCAACGTGAAACAATGTTAATAAAAGTTATTTGCAGCACTAACGTGGCTGTGTTAATTATGTTATTAGTTAACTTACTAACGTGGCTGTGTTAATAATGTTATTAGTTAACTTACTAACGTGGCTGTGTTAATAATGTTATTAGTTAACTTACTAGCATGGCTGTCGTGTTAATAATGTTATTTGTTAACTTACTAACGCGTGGCTGTGTTAATAATGTTATTAGTTGATTAACTATAACGTGGCTGTGTTAATAATGTTATTAGTTAACTAGCGTAGCTGTGTTAATAATGTTATTAGTTAACTTACTAGCAATAGCTGTGTGTTAATAATGTTATTAGTTAACTTACTAGCATGGCTGTGGTAATAATGTTATTAGTTAACTTACTAACGTGGCTGTATTTATAATGTTATTAGTTAACTTACTAACGTAGCTGTGTTAATAATGTTATTAGTTAACTTACTAACATTGAAACAATATGTGTTATTAGTTAACTTACTAACGTGGCTGTGTTGAATAAAGGTTATTTGTTAACTTACTAGCATTGGCTGTGTTAATAATGTATTTATTAGTTAACTTACTAACGTAGCTGTGTTAATAATGTTATTAATTAACTTACTAACGTGGCTGTGTTAATAATGTTATTAGTTAACTTACTAAATGGCTGTGGTAATAATGTTATTAGTTAACTTACTAACACGTGGCTGTGTTAATAATGTGTGATTAACTTACTACTTGTATGTGGTAATAATGTTATTAGTTAACTTACTAACGTGAAACAATATTTAATAATGTTATTTGTTAACTTACTAACGTGGCTGTGTTAATAATGTTATTTGTTAACTTACTAGCATTGGCTGTGTTAATAATGTTGTTTGTTAACTTACTAACGTGGCTGTGTTATAATGTTATTAGTTAACTTACTAACGTAGCTGTGTTAATAATGTTATTAAGTTAACTTACTAACGTGGCTGTGTTAATAATGTTGTTTGTTAGCACTAACGTGGCTGTGTTAATAATGTTATTTGTTAACTTACTAACACGTAGCTAATAATGTTATTTGTTAACTTACTAACGTGGCTGTGTTAATAATGTTATTTGTTAACTTACTAACGTGGCTGTGTTAATAAAGTTATTTGTTAACTTACTAGCATTAATGTATTATGTGTTATTAGTTAACTTACTAACGTGGCTGTGTTAATAAAGTTATTTGTTAACTTACTAACGTGGCTGTATTGTTAATATGTTATTAGTTAACTAACGTGGCTGTGTGTTAATAATATTTGTTTGTTAACTTACTAATGTGGCTGTGTTAATAATGTATTTATTAACTTACTAGCAATGGCTGTGTTAATAATGTTATTAGTTAGCACTAGCATTAGCTGTGTTAATAATGTTATTAGTTAACTTACAACGTAGCTGTGTTAATAATGTTATTTGTTAACTTACTAACGTGGCTGTGTTATGTGTTATTAATTGCTTTACTAACGTGGCTGTGTTATGTGTTATTAGTTAACTAGCATGTGTATTAATAATATTCATTGGATTAACTTACTAAGCATTGTGGTTGGACAATATTAGTTAACTTACTAACGTGGCTGTGTTAATAATGTTATTTGTTAACTTACTAACGTGGCTGTGTTAATAATGTTATTTGTTAACTTACTAACGTGGCTATGTTAATAATGTTATTTATTAACTTACTAACGTGGCTATGTTAATAATGTTGTTTGTTAACTTACTAACGTGGCTGTGTTAATAATGTTATTTATTAACTTACTAACGTGGCTATGTTAATAATGTTGTTTGTTAACTTACTAACGTGGCTGTGTTAATAATGTTGTTTGTTAACTTACTAACGTGGCTGTGTTAATAATGTTATTTGTTAACTTACTAACGTGGCTGTGTTAATAATGTTATTTATTAACTTACTAACGTGGCTGTGTTAATAATGTTATTTGTTAACTTACTAACGTGGCTGTGTTAATAATGTTATTTATTAACTTACTAACGTGGCTGTGTTAGTAATGTTATTTATTAACTTACTAACGTGGCTGTGTTAATAATGTTATTTATTAACTTACTAACGTGGCTGTGTTAATAATGTTATTTGTTAACTTACTAACGTGGCTGTGTTAATAAT